TATCATGTGATTTAAGAGAGTCGCACAGCGATGCACAGTTTCAATTACTTTGAATATGTCAAAATCTTATATGTGAACTGCGGATTAAAACATGAATAATTATGAAAGCGGTTTTCACAGTAATGAACACTCTTGAAGCTGAAGTGAAAATAAGGCCTTGTATAAATTCAGGCCTGTATGGGATTTGAACACATGACCTCTGTGATACCGGTGCAGTGCTCTACTAACTTAGCTAACAGGCTAACTGGGATCTGGTTTTTATGTTAGTTCATAATAAACCTGTGAAGTGATGAATCAAGGACTGATTTTTTTTTCCTTATGTTGGTTCGTAATGAAACCGTGAAGTGATGCACAGCTCACTTCTGTGAAACCGAAGGAAACGATTACAAAGGGGTAATTAAATAAGGTTAATCAACTACCAGGGATAGTTACAGTACTGAGTGTATTTTCGTTATTGTGGTATTTTCCAGACTGGAGGCTACGTGGTTGAAGAAGTTCTCCTTCCGTTCTTACTCAAGTCTTGTGTGGGATGTAATCCTGTGGAACATCGACCGGGTGTTCATAAGATTCTTGATATGATGTGGGTCTGTATGGAGGTAAGTTGAGTCTGGGCATGCTCTACTTCTTTTTAAATTTTTGCAATAACTTCCATTTATCTCTCCCCCTCTTCCCCACTTCAATGTTTCCTAGTTTCAACAAAATGTAATTACATGATAACTGGTCTAACCTGAAGTTTTGTCTCGTTTGGTTTTAAGGAGTTTGAACTGGTGCCTTCTCTGAGTCACTTGCTAAATGCTCTGATCAAGTATTACTGGTTCCAACCGGTTACCATGGATTTTAGGCAACAGGTAAAGCCAGTTATACGATCATTTCCTCTTATTTGTTGTCATTCACAATGCGCTTTGTACGGCGTGTGGTTTCAATCAATATACTCCTCTCGCGCAACTAATATGGCGACTTTTTCTTATAGCTGAGCTCGCCTGAGACATAAATCGTCCTATTTTTTGTAAGCAAGTCCGTTCCACCTTTAGGGGGGAGGGTGCGGCTACACATAGGCTATTTGTTGCACAATTGCTACAAAAATCCGTCTTTTGTTTATGAATTATTTTTGTATTTCTGATCCTGACTTGCGTAGTTTTAAGCAGGAAATGCTTCAATTGGATGAGCTGGTCGGTGAAAATGAGGAAAGCTAGACAATGTCATTGCATGGTTTCTTATCTTTTTAGGTGCAGTGCCTCACCTTGGTTCTTTCTATACTCAAACACGAGAAAACACGAAGATTGTGGATCGCTTGTAAAAGATATCCTTTAAAAAATTTTCTATTTTTTACTATTGAAAAAATTTGAAAGGATGTTGAAAATTGCCACAAGCATATGGCAAAGGAAAGACTGACTCTCTTGCGAGGACTCGGATTACAGACATTACGATGACGCAGTCCGATGCTCTACCAACTGAGTAAGCGGTATTATTGTGGAGCTAGTCCAAAGACAAGATTCATCTGTGATAATTGTCCTGTATACAGATAGAATAGTTGCTTTTCACACTCTATAATTTAATATGGTTACTGTAAAACCTTATCTGGTATACCATCTTCATTTAGCGGTTACAGGAAAGAATCGAATAATATAAGAATGTAAGACGCCTTTCGCGTTGTTGTAAGGATAGCGCTCTTATAATCCGCAGTTGACACATTATGATCGTCTTGGCCGAGATAAACGATAACACTGCCCTTCAAAGACTACCTTTGTTTGGATCTAGTCAGATTTTCATTTCAGCTATAGTAAAAATACTCCGCCGGAAGCAACGCGTTCATGGCATTTGCGCGCCAGTTGGTATTTGTGAATTTTAGCGCAGTAATTCTGTTGTGTTTGTATGGATTCTTTGACTGTATGAACTTTTCCTCAGAAGTTTAGCTACTTTATGCATATCAAGCCTCCAGATGACAAAGTCCTTCAGTCTTCCTTTCCATCGGTGTGGTGGGAAAGCGACGATGTGAGTTCTTAGTGTGTATTTTTAGGTCAGATCTTCATTAAAAATTCTAGGTAGTTAGATAAAGCGCTCCCTGCGACCAATGTCTTCACTGGTTAAAAGACACGTCAGATAGGGGTTGATGACCAATCAGCTTCCATGGTTTAGACCATGTGACCAGATAAGACTACTCTTTCTATTCGTGTAGTCACAATACTCGACGATGATCTTCTAAGTGAAATTTTTCTTGACGAAATATTATCTCACGTAGAGCAGGGTAGTACTGTTAGATTTCTCTCCAAAGTGGGTGTATGGAAAGTAACTCACTAAATATTTTTTTGCATAATCTTTTTTCTTTAATTCTCATGAATGTAAAGCTAGTCCGTCAAAGAGAAAATTTTGTGCCACTGAATAACTTAACTATGAATTGCTTCCTTCGTAGGAGTCATCGAAGCCGAGTGAGGCGTCAAAAACTGAGTATACCACTGCCTGCAATAAACTCAAGAACAAAGTCCAAGGTAACGAAACATTGATCCCTTGACACCCTTTGTGACGTTAGGGGAGGAGAGGGAGGGGGGAAGGGGCTAAAGAAACCTTGGTGTCGATACCTCGAGCAATTGAGTATAAGTAGTCAATCAGAGGAAAGGGAAATACCACATAAGCCAATGAGGATTAAAGTAAAAGTAAGCTGACTGCTCAAAGCGCGGGAAAACTGAACGCGCGTGACGAAATCGCAATTGGTGTTGGTATTGAATCTGATTGGTTAAGAGGATGGCGCGACCTTTTTTTGGACCAATTACGGAGCGCAGAAAAGTAAAACCAATATAATCCTTGATTACTATTGACACTCAGTGGAAAAGTGGTTAAAAATGTTAGTCTCGTTAGAGAATAAATCACAGAAGAGACAATAAGAAACAAAGAAGGAAAAAGAATTGTATTTTAATGTGGCTCAGAGTAAATCTTATGGATCAACCTCGTTGTGACTCTACCATTTAGTTTAAATCCCGTAAAATGTTTGATTTAGTAGTCATGATGTAAGGAAAAATTAGATGCTAGTCACACTCTAAGGTTAATGGGATTTGTCTCCCTCTTTCTTAGTGCTCGAGAATATTCAGGTTGAAATTTGCAAGATTTTGTTAAAAGGCGATGATCGACCGACACAGGTAAACACCTTATGATATTTAAATTGTATTTCAGATAAATGCCGAGATTTTTTAGGTTTTAACGTATAGTTCACTTTATTAATCTAAGAGAGTTTGAAGGTAGGAATCTGAGTTCTCCTTGGAGTACTTATTTAAAAAAAAACAATTATTCTGTTGATTATGACTCAAGGAGTCATATGTCACAATAAGACATATGACTGAAGTTCAACTCAGGCGGCGCTTTAGACACTCAGTGGACCCTCGGCTTATTTTTGGAAAAGAAATGTTTCTGCCAGTTTGTTTATTCTAGCTGTGAGCTTTCCTTTTCTGTCACTATCTACCAAATACCTTGTTAAAACCAACCTCAGAGATTTTGGATGGACGGAAAAGAAGTGAAAGAAATTAGGTATCGTATTCTATCGAACCGCCGTTGCAGTATTCGCTAAGTATGACGTGTTGTTATATTTTACCAGGACTCCAAACCTACAAGGCTGCTATTCCTCGAAAAGTTTAGAAAATTCCTGCAGGAAAATATGATGACCATTATGGTTAGTTCAATTAACTTAAGATATTTCTGGTTTTGATGCATTCGTGAATATTTTACGCTTGGTTTGTTTTGCAATTTGAAGGGATGCTTTTTTCTAATTCAAACAGCTTCAACCGTCCAGCGCATGTGCGGGACCAGTTATTACGTGTTTCTATCATCGACTGGTGCAAGCAGTCCGCTGGCATTGGGAGCAGTGGGCTCAAGAGAAGGATTCGCCTATAAAAAGTAAAGGTACACAAAACGAATTGTAAATGACGAACTAAAGACAGATTAGGGCAAAATTTTCAATTTGGGCAAACTGCAATGTTTTGCTATAAAGCTTTGCCGTGTCGTCTTATACCATAATTCGACTTAATTACAATTAATTAACCAAGAGATGTCACATTCCTCTGGCCTGGGTTGTTCAAATCTAACATAATTTGTCTTAATAACCTGGTTTTCCTTTAAAATTTTATTTCAGATTTGAAAGCTTTAAAAGAAAATTCAGTTGGATTGTTTTAGTCCACAATTTGATTATGGATGCTCTTCAAAGAATATAGAAAATTAACCCAAAAAGTATTTTGAACAAAGGCACAAAGAAACCCAGATTAAAATTTAACCTTGGATTAGCGCCAATCGGCCTTGGAACAGCTAGACCCAACTAAAATAGAATTTGAACTGAGATTTTAGTCAAACTTTACCGGTTGGTTGTTTATCCTAGAGGAACGTAAAATTTTGAATTCAGAAAGAGGGTTCCCTTTCTCATTTAAGAGCAGTAGTACATTGTAGATAACCATATAATTCTCTAATATCAATATTATTCCTATACACATTAAGTGTACTTTACTTTTATGAATTTTTTAGATGCATACGTTCCAAACCATGTGTTCCATGACGACGGAGTTCATTTCTGGGACCTACCAAGGTAATGTTTCCGAATTAGACAGATTATTCGAGTTTGTCTCCGGCTGAAGTAAATGAGTGGGATCCAACGCCGATGAGAGATTGGAGTTTTAATCTTTTACTTTTTTTATCGCTATATTTTCAAGTATTTAGTGCTCATTTCGTAGAAGTAAAAACGCAACGAAGGAAAATGTAGTTAAAACAACCAAACAGCTCAAAGCGCGGGAAAACGCGGGCGACTAAGTCATGATTGGCTTTAGTTTTGCATCTGATTGGTCCAGAGGGTGACGCGAGTTTTCTGGACCAATCACAGACCTAAGTGAAGGAAAACCTTTGCAGTCTCGGATTAATTTCAACGCTCAATTGAAAATTGCTCAATTGTTTTGTGTCGTATAACTGGATCATTTTAATGTATTACCTCAATATGGTTTCTGTTGTATTCCTCTTGTTAGGGTGGGTGGTGTTTTGTCTCATCTCAAGAAAGCCTACCACGGTAAGTCAAATGGTCGTTGAAATTTATTTTATACCTCACACTTTTCGGAGTGAGCCTTGATTTTAGGAATTGGACACAGTTTGCCTGGCCTGCTTCGACAATTGGCTGAGAAAACCAACTGTTTCAGTTTTCAGGCAAATTCGGTTCCGTTCCATTGCCTGAAACGAAGAAAAAATTCGCCATATGTAAAAAGTATCGAAGCGTTTGGAGAGGCTTCCCTCTTGTTCACGGGTTTCCACGTGAACGTTTATAATAAAGTGATGATGATTATGATGACTATGATAGTTTATGATAATTATGATAATCATGATGATTGTGATGATTATAATCATGATAATTATGGTAATTATGACAGTGAGGATAATCATGATAGTTTTGATGATTATGGTAATTAATATAACTATCATAATTATGATAATCATGATAATTTTAAGGATTATGATAACAATAATAATGATATTAACAAGGAAAACCCAACGAATAGATGTGGTTCGAAGAAAGATAACAGGTTAGATTTTCTTTATTTGAGAGTGCCATTTGTTTCTCAGACGCCATCGAAAAGTCAGCGAACAAAGAGGAGTCCAGTGAGGGGGACGAATCATCCATCTCCTGTGAAGATCGTAACCTCGAGCCTTCATTGGTGGAAATGTTGGATGGCGTCATCATGCTTTACCATATTGCTGTACACAAGCAATTGTCTAAGGTAAAAGGGAGACTGAGTGCGAATTTAACATTTTTTTCTGATAGACTCGAGCTCTCGAGAACTCTCCTTACCTTCGAGTCCATCACCATTTCCCTTCAATTACTCGACTCTGCTTTTATTATTGCGGAAGGTGAGAACATGACCCAGTTTTAGTCTTCAGAGCAAGCAAAAGCAAGTTTATACTTTTTACAGGTGAGAGCCGTACGGGAAAACATGAAGCAGAACATCAAAGCTCTTGAAGAAACGATGGCAAAAATCAGACGCTGTGAACAGGAGGTATTTACAACCATGTACTCCTTGATTTTTAAAGAAGCGGTTAGGCGCGGCCATTTCGGTGTTTATGCGTTAGACTCCGGGTTGAGAGGCCTGGTGACGAAGTGTGTTGTGTTCTCAGGCAAGACACTGGACTCACACAGTGCCTTTCTCCACCCCCGTGGGTACTGGGGTATAGTCAGGGAATTTCGACGAAACGCTGGGGTAACCCTGTGATAAGAGGGGGGGAAGGGGGACGGGGTAACCTGTGATGGACTAGTATCCCATGGGGGGTAATGCACCTAAAATACTCAAAAGGGTGTAATTTCATATTTGTTCTCGATCTTCACTTAAACAACCGAGACTGCATTTACATTAAAAAACAAAAGCGAAATAAGCGAAAATTCCCTTGATCCAAGCTAGTTACGTTTCGCCTCATGCCCAGTTATTTTTTCTGAGAAGCCCTTACCACGCTTACCCAGCCCAGTGCTCGCGCGCTATATTTTCCCGTCATTTGGCTAAATAAGTTCGTTTTAAGGTGTAACGGAAGCTTGTTGTTGTAATCTTTTAAGAGAACTGACGTGCTAGCAGAACTGGAAAGATCGAAGACAGTCTTCCTTCAAGAAACCACCCACTGCGCAAGACACATGGCTTGGGTTTCCACTCTTATTTTCACTAAGGTTTGTTTGGGTCCATAGTAATGAAAGAAAAAAAAATAGACCAAGAGGTCATTCTCCTGTAGTATGGTGGGAGATGCGATATAAAAACAGATCGGTGCCAGTATCTGAATAACTTCGCACCTACTCCTCCCCTAACCCGATATTAAACGTTACTTTTAGGTAAGGGAAGGGGTAGGTGCGCAGCTGGACGGATAATGACATGGATCCATAAAAACTTAGCACCAACTTCCTCTAGGAAATGAAGAATTGGGACCCTTTCAGTAGCATGTACAAACAAAACATCGTTTTTGCTTGTATCTGTGGGGTAAATCTCTCCCCCTTTCACCAACCTCCCACCTTCTACTACAATAAACTGTAGAATTGGGCGCCACTCAGAGTCATTTTAGCCCAAGCCATTGGGTGAAGGTGGGGGTGAACTCTGGGAAGGGCCCATAACAATGTTATGCCCAAGGTCATTAATTGTATTGTTATTGTTATTATCGCCTTGGAGGGCATTAAAAAATAAAAACAGAAAAAAAGTGACAACAAAACAGTCTCAACATCACGCGGGTAGACGGGTAAGCTAAAATACATTTTTATCCGCCAAAATATCCATTTAAGCCTGCAAAACGAATTACAATGCCGACAGAGTGATGATAATCCTGATTTTTATCCCTTTTGTCATTGTCTTCTGTTTTAACATTATTTTTGGCCTGGGTCATGCGCAGATTAGATCAGATTGAAAACCAGAAAAATCTATAATAGCTAATTCTTTAATACATTCTAGTGATATGGTAACTGTTTGTTTCTTAGGAGAAGCAGAACGATGTACATTGGATGCTGAATTGTATTATGTCATCTGTGGAGCGAGGTACTATAAAGGAAAACCTCTTTGAGTTTACACCTGAGTTTTACATGGAGGCCGCTATCAATGCGTTTCACGGGCTCAGGCATTACTTCCATCCTACAACGTGCTTCAGTGACATTCCAGGTAAATTGTTTTGGTATGTTAATCAGTCCCAGGCTCCCGGGAAAGTAGACTGACAAGAGAGGGCAGAGAACGCGTGCGTGTGCGCTCCCAGCTTGTTTCCGCTGAGCATAAAACTGACTCATGCCAAAGTATTATTTTGTAGAAGGATGTATCACCATACGTCAAGTTACTCTATGATTGAGTGCTCGATCTGTTTTCGTTACCAATTAGAAGCGGTCTCACGTGACTTAGATAATCATACCCAAACATATCAAAGTCTCTGCGATACACTTCGCCTAATCGCGTGATGTATTTTGGGGGGACCTTGGAAAAATACTCCAGCACCTCGCAGTTATAGGTTGATTCGTGAATTGGCGGGAAAGTGACGCGGGAGTCAATTCCCGCCAATTTTAAGGCAAGGGGAGCGTCCTCATGCATAGTTTCTAAATGACCAATGAAGTCGTAGTTGATAAAACACGGATGGCACAATTTTTCGTATTCTCGCCAGTGTGCATTGCGCGAAACATTATTGGAAAAATATTGAACGAATTCTGCAAAGGTGACGTTGTTGTCTCCATTTGGGTCAAAATCTTGCGGTCGATAAGCTTTTGTAATGCCTTCACGAGCTTCCCTGCTCGTGTACCATTTGTCCAGACCAAGAAATTTGTCTTTAAAGGCAGAGATCAAGCGAATAAAAGGTTCGCGAACGAAGACGAATTTAAAATAAGTGTTAATTCTCTTTCGCCTTCCTTTCTCCGAGTACGCACTCAATCGATGCCAGAGGTCCCATTGGTGAATGTTTTCAAAGGAGTTTTCTTTCAAGCGTCGAAGATTACCGAACACGTTTTTCCATGTTGTAGTACCAACCTTTGGAATCGTGCAGTACATAAACTTGTTTTTATCGTCTACTAGGATAAACTTTAAGTCATCAGCAACTGGGATCTTGTATGAATGTGTTTGACAAAAGTTATTCAAATGTTTCTTTCTTGTGGCCTGTCTTTGCAAAATTTCTACAATAGGCAAAGATAAGTTTAGTCAGTGGATTTTTGTGCAAACACCATTTTTGAAGGAGGAAGTCAAGAGGTTTCGACACCTTTCTCGATACTTGTTATTATTATTATTATTATTATTATTATTATTATTATTATTAATGATTTTTTACTTTGACGTTCTGTTCTAATATAGAGTAGCTTTCAGGGACCAGATATCTTGAGCAAACTCTTCTAACATGAATATAGAAAACTTGTCACAAATAAACTAATCGTCACTTAACACTTTGTTGGTACAATCAGTAGCTGTCTTTTTCCTTACGAAATGTTAATGTGGTGTCCCAGAGCATATACACTCCAAACTAAATTTTTTTTGTCTTGTCTCAAGAATTTCTCCTTTTGCCAGATACATGGAGTATTTCTCGCGAAGTCGGAACTGAGAAAGGTTTTAATTGTGAAGAGCGGCGTTTCTGACCTCTATATCAAACCGGTTGATATCACGCGTATGACAGTGCTTTTGTGAATTAGAACGAACATGTTTGCGGTTTGCGTTTATTTCCTTGGCAACTTTAATCACTCACAGTTGCTTATTGTGTTCGTATGGAGTTAAAGCCCGGAAATATTATCTTTTCTTTGCTTAATTTATGCTTTTGAAGTTCAGTTTTTGAATCGGTTAAGTATCGATGAATGGTAATATTTTACAGCAAAAAAATCAGATTATGTCTTTAAACAACCATGAGTTCACTAGGCGGAATCCCGCTTTTAAGTTTCCTGTGTCAAAACCCATGCGATGATATACTCATATCTAAGAGGTAAATAACGATAAAATGTAATAAAAGGAAATTCTTTATGACAAATCATTTTTTAAGTCCGTGGGCGTTGTCTTTTTAGACCGCTTCTGACACTATGTAATGTTGTATGCAGCTCGGTTAACTCTGTACATCCTAATATCAGTATGCATATTCTCCATACCGTTCTGTGCGTTTCCTAAGGTGTCGACAAGAAGAATTTGTGTATCAGTCAAGAGCTTGTTTAGTTTTATGATCATTTCCTTTATTGTTGTGACCTTAATGCGTGGTTCAGAGGTGATATTTTAAGGAAAAAATAGATACACAGATATATACAAAGATAGAATGATAAACTTTGCTTTAGAGTAGCCCATTCAGCCTCGAGTCTGGTATCTAGAAGAGCCCTGAAGTTGAAACTCACAATACTGTCGTAAAGAGTACAAATTAGATATAAAAACTACAAATTTATTCCTTAAATTACACGAGTTCCAAGTGAAAATTTTTTTTAAAAAATGGAGGTTACGAAAACTTGTAGTTTTTAACTCGATGCTTAAAAATTTTCAAGGACTCACCTTGATTGATGGGTTGTGGCAAAGAATTAATTACACTGATATAGTTGAGCAGAGATACGGATTATATACCTTTGCTAGTAAAGTTGTAACTCTTTTTCCATTGCGTTTAAGCATGACTTATACAGTTCACGAAGAAATTGTGGTTACCATTTTTGTCGAGGAAGTGTTACTAGTTACCAATTAAGAAAGGAGTCTTACCGAAATCATCTGCAAGTCCACCGATTGTAATCTTCCAAGTTCCAAAATAACACAACGAAGATAAAATGAGGAGCATTAACAAACATAATGTCACCCAAACAGCTTTGTGCAGCGACATCTTGACTAACCACTAAGGTCGAGGATCAAAACCTTTTTGATCGATGCTTAGCACGATTTGGTCGTTCACAGTTAGGTGAGATCAAGGTTCTGAAAAGGCGAAACACCTTGTGATTTCTTTTTTGTTAATTAAGGCTATTGTTATGTTCATCTGGCATATTAACTTCAGGGATTTCTTCTTTTTTTTCGGCTTTTTGTAGCTTTTGTTCAAGTGTGATTATACAGTTTCCATAGCGCTTACTTTGACACTTCTTAACCGATGGTCGTAAACGGCAAAAACATTCCGCCGTTAGGCGTAAAAATTGACAAATTTTAACCGTTCGTCTTAAAAAAAGTTAACCGTTAAAAAACGTTTTGGTGACGGCAATTCAAAAATATTATCCGTTAGCCGTAAAATGGCCGAAAAATTTTAAGCGTTAGGCGTAAAAATTGACAAATTTTACCCGATAGTCGTAAAAAAGGTTAAGCATAAAAAAGTTCTGGTTTCAGCAATTCAAAGATATTACCCGTTAGCCGTAAAATGGCCAACATTTTAACTGTTATCCGTAAAAGCCATCAACCCAAAATGCTTTACACTAGTGTCTATCGAATCGTTTCTCACTTTTATTTGATTAATTCAATATATTTGTTTTCAAATTCAGAAAAGTATAATAGTTACAAAAAAGAAAAAAAAATTCATAATCAGCTTTCTCTACGGTAGAGAGGAACCGTCTCAAGTGTGTCTCGTTCCCAACGAGTAGCTTCATAGCTCGGTCGGTCGGTCGGTGGTTGCGCCTGTATTTGGGAGGAAGGTTCGAATCCAGTAACAGCCTTAATCTTATCAGGCGTCTTTTCTACAATTGCTAACATTACAGCGCGCCTGCAAAGGTAATTGTTTTGCTTGTTTGATTTTTTCTACCGGCTGATAAAAATTCGTTGTGCCTTGTTTTGTTCATTTTTTTGTTTATTTAGTTATTTTTTCAAGTTTTTCCCGGTTTAATTCTAAACAAAACAGGCAGATGGCTTTAATACATGTAAAATTATGTACGTAATGGTGGACAGCGCATACTAACATATCCGGACTCCGTGAATGGCAAACGCATATATACTCTAGCAGACTCTGACAATTTTCTTTGTAGGGAAATTCAGAAATACGATTCGGTGACTTTTGATTTTGTCAACAAATGATCATTTAAGTAATTTTTACACTCAAAACCCGATACAAATTTGGACGAAAGTACGTTAATTTTCCTTTGATGTTGAGCCAAATCTATGTTTTTCCCGTGATTACAAAATATTTCAGTCAATTATTTGTGTGTTTACGGCCGTCTTGACGTCTCAATCTAAAGTAGTGTTCGTTAATTACTTCTGTCATGTTTTAGATGAATCACGGTTGTCATCGAAACGTTTTTGTAATTAGCTGTTTTATTATGTTCTTGACGTAAAGAAATAAGAGATTGCTAATTATTTTTGAAAACAAAATGAGAGCTATTGAATTATTAAATCCTTAATTAAAAGAAGAGGAAAAACTAAACAAAAGAAAGAAAGAAAATTGAAAGAAACGGTTATAGAAAATCAGGCCGTTTTACTGCATGTTAGTTAGGTAGTGATAATTTTCTACAGCTTTTATATGATGGTCTCCGGCAGAATCGCCTAGTTTTCTTTGAGAATGCGACGTCGCGTTTACCCTCGTTCTTGTGCTCTTATTTCGGCACCAGACTTTTGCTCAGTTTTCTTTTTACCCCTCAAAGCATCCATATTTCACCCGTTTATATTTTTCGAGAACGTCGAAATGAGCTTTCGGCACAACGAGACAAGCAAATGTTTTTATTTTATTTTGTTCACATCTGCCGTCACATTGTTAGACCGTTCACTTTACTCACTTTCTGTTGTGGTAGAGAGAGTGAGTAGCGTAGCAACTCAGAGTGCAGTATTTGTGATAGGATGCTAGGAGATTTTTAAGAATAGTTGATTGCTTCAAAAAAGGATGCACGTGGAGTGGCTCAGCGGATCACAGGCATCCCAAGCTCTCGTGTCGAGAAAAAGCATACGATTAATTCATGAAAGCGTTTCGCGTTGTGTGACGCGGCGTTAAGTTACGCGTTATAATTAAAAATAGTATGGCAAACGAAATATGGTCGATTTACAACGATAAATATTTCGAAATATGAACATTGTACACGTGAAATAAATAAAAAAAGCAGTTAGTAAGTTTTTTATCTCACGCGGTCAGATTTTCAACGGTTCCTCGCTTCACTTAACACTGCGTCACACAACGCGTAACGCTTTCATAAATTAATCGCTTGCGTTTTCTCGAGACGTGAGCTTGGGATGCCTGTGAGCAGATATACTTTGCTATACGTTCCCTTTCGTCTTCACGCCTTGGGTAGACTGATTCAGATAAGATTTTATTGGTCCGAGATATTCATAACCAAACATCTCAAAGTCACTGCGGTATAGTTCTCCTAACTTACTGATGTACGAACGCGGGATTTGGGAATAGTACTTCAACACTTCTGATTCACCTGTTGCTTTGTGAATTGGCGGGAAAGTGGCGCGGTCGTCAATTCCCGCCTTTTTTAGCAAAAGAGGAGCATCGTCTTCCAATGTCTCTAAGTGACCAATGAAATCATAGTCGATGACGCAAGGATGGCAAAGATCCTCAAATTGGCGCCAGTGTTGATTTCGCGATATATTATTGGAAAAATACTGAATAAATTCCGCAAAACTAATGTAATTTTCCCCATTTGGATCAAAATCGAGCGGCCGAAGATCTTGGATTATGACTTGACGAATTTTTGCGGAATACCCTGGTAATTGTATAAACTTATTTTTGTATGCTGAAAGCAAGCGTTGCAATGGCTCCCGCACGAAAATAAACTTAAAGTATGTGTTCAGGCGCAGAGTTATTTCTTCTTCGCTGTATTCAGCGAGCAGTTTCCACATTTGCCAACGGCTGATTTGTCTTCGAAGTTTGCGTGTGGCAGCAAAAACTGTCTTCCACGTCGATGATGCGACCTTTGGGACTATACAATAAAGGAACTTCAGCTCATCATCGACGGCAATGTGGATTTCCTTGGGGCTTGGATTGGTTTTAAACGAATGTTTGCTGCAATAATCTTTTAGATGTTGCTTTCGGGCTTGTTGTCTCTCTTCTGCAGTTGAACGTTGGGGCTTGGTTTTTGCCTTTTTGTATTCAGAACAAGAAATCAAAATGATTTAGAAATGAAGATGAGATTTGTTATGATAAAAACAAAAAGAAAGATATTAAAAAGGAATCTTAAGCTCAATTTGTAGTCCTTAATTGAGAGGTATGCTCCAAAAACCAGTGAACAAATAGACTCAAGGTTGCCGTGTGTATGTGCAGTCAAAACGTGATTAATAATGGTAATAGGACCGAGTGGAGTCCAATTCGGTCTGTAATCATATGAGTGATTGACAAAATCGGGCGACCGCGAAGCGGAAGTCTGATTTGTAAATCACAAGTATGATTACAGACAGAACTGGACGACACAAAGTCCTGTTACCAATTAATCATAACTGTTACAATTTCCGAAAACAAAAAAATACGTTCAGCAGAGACAATGTCTAAGTAAAACATTCCTCAAATTTGGTCATTTCGCAACTTTTTTTAGGATAAGTGGTTGTAGCTATGGTTATTGTGATCAATTCTGTGATTGATGGATTAGACTGAAAGGACTAAGTATGATTGGCTGCTTCAACTGTCCGACTACAGGTGTTCGATTACAGCCAACTGTCCGATTACACTATCCGACTACAACTCTACAGAATGATTAGTGAAAAATAAAGCAGCCAGTGCACCAATCACATTTGAGGAAATTGTAATGGTTATGATTAGAACGAAAAAGTGCCTTACCACATTTCAATGTCTTCTGTGATGTATTTCTGAACAGACCCACCACAACATGGAGTTTATTTGTTTTGTTGATATGATTATCCATCTCATAATTATTGGGAGTCACAAGATTATATAGATATTTAAAGATGTCGGTCGTTAAAGCTCACCTTCGCCGCCTGGGAATTTGATTCTTTTTGTGAGTAGAGCTCTGAAAATACATTCAACAGAATTGGTTATTGCCTCAGGGTCATTGTCCTTGTTTAAACGCCTTTAGTTATTTGTTACCCAAGTGAGATCAGAAGATCAAAACTTGTTGGCAGAACCACCTCCCCTCCCCCTCCCCCCCTCCCTACCCCTTCATGGCAATGCTTTATAGAAACACGTTGGAGGGAGGACGTACATTTTCCATTAGAACTGTAGAGGATTAAATGAAGAACAATACATGCGCGTGCCTAAGTATGCAATTTCTCTTTGAGTGAGTTATCGAGTTGAACACGACCTGCAAGAGAAATTTCATACAAGCAACAATTTGTTATTTTGTTCATAATATAAATACCTTAGGGCTTTACTTACAATCAACCTGATAGAGTGGCGCGAAAGGCAAGTGACGTGTCAGCAGCTGATTGGCGGTATCAAACGTATGTACAAAAAAATTATCGTTATTTTACACGTGTGTAGTTACGGTTTTTCTCAGAGCTGGAAATCCTTAGAAAAACACCGCAGTTTATTTAGTAAAACAATTTACTCCGATCTTTTAGAAAAAAAATGTCCGAACTTAATTAAGGCCGAATATCTTAAATTATCAGAAGACCAAGCGATCATACTTTTTAAAGTCATAAATTATAATCAATTAGTTCTGAACATGCTCTTCTTTTGAAACGA